CAACCAAGTACACATTTTACTGTTGAGTTAAACAGAGGCTACAGTTAAGGATTTGCGCCCAGTAAATCCTCCCCAGCCAGGATACGAACCCATGACAAAGCGCTCGCGGAATGCCAGGCGAGTGTCTTACCACTACACCACGGAGACTGGTTAAACAGTCATAAACAGTCATGCATGACTGTTTGCATAACAGTCATGCACAAGTTTACATTTGGTCAGGTCTACATCGGCAGATAATGAGAATTCCCAGAGATACTTGTAACCGAGTCTAAGCCGAGCAGTAGTAACATCTACAAGTCTGCTGATTTTATTGGATGAACCATAGATCCAGTCCTGATCCCCTTGCTCTAAATGCCACAGTAAATACTGAGCTAAATAAAGTCCATCTGTGGCTAACTGCCAACAAACTCACCCTTAACATTGACAAAACCTTCTATATTCTGTTTGGCAATAAATCCTCTAACCAAATAAATCTCAAAATAAACAATACCCAAATTTGTAACAAATTAGATGGCAAATTCCTTGGCATTCTCATTGACCACAAGCTTAATTTCCAGGGACACATTCTAAACATATCAAAAAAAGTTTCAAAAACTGTGGGCATTCTTTCTAAGATCAGATATTATGTACCACGCCCTGCCCTGGTGACTCTCTATTACTCCCTTATCTATCCATATCTCAACTATGGTATTTGTGCTTGGGGCTCTACTACCCAAAATCACTTACGTCCTCTAATTACTCAACACAAAGCTGCTATTAGGACAATATCCAATTCTGGCCCCAGACATCACTCGGTACCCCTACTTAAATCTCTGAATATGTTAGACATTAAGTCACTGCACATTCTCTCATGTGTATTATACATATATAAAACGCTAAACTATAATGCCAATCCTGATCTCAAAAGCTTCATAGAAGGTTTATGCCCGAAACGCTTTGCGTAATAGTGGCTTTAGGCATTGTATGTACTAGCTCTACCTATAAGTCTACCAATCCTTGTAAAAATTTATTGTATGTATGTACCTTACCTAAATAAAATTGTATTGTATTGTATAGGTTGTATCAGAACCCATGAACATCACACCAGAAATAAATACAGTTTTGATATTCCTAGAGTACGACTTAATCAAACTAGAAATGCTCTACAAATCAAGGGGCCCAGAATGTGGAATGACCTTCCCAACCATGTTAAAGACTGTACCTCTCTCAACCAGTTTAAGTTGAAAGCGAAGCTATACCTAATAAATTCCCTGTAACCTACCTTACCCTTCTATTGTCAACCAATGTCTGTTTTTTTCTTTAAAGAGTGCTGTTTGTCGACATAATAGTATTTGTGCTGCTTTTTCATCTATGTTTTCATTTCTTGTTTTCATTCTACTCATTATGCTCAATTAGTATTAAGCTTGTCATTTAAGTTTATCATGCCTGAAACGCTTTGCGTAATAGTGGCTTTAGGCATTGTATGTACTAGCTCTACCTATAAGTCAAACAATCCTTGTAAATATTTATTGTATGTATGTACCTTACCTAAATAAAATTGTATTGTATTGTATTGTATTGTATTGTATTAATATAGATGTGTGGCTCCTCTTGCATGATAGTAAGAGGAGCCACACATCTATGGTTCATCCAATAAAATCAGCAGGCTCCATCACACTACCAGGTGCTCCACCACACTACCAGGTGTTCAGTTTGAGCGCCATCTTTAAAGTTACTTCAGTAGCACAGGAAGAAAGAAATGACACACTATTTATAGGTTTTTGCACAATTATTGCACATTTAGAAGTCTTGGCGAGAGTGGTAGTTGTTGAAGCAGTCGACAGCACACAAAGGGACCGCACACACTTCACACCATGTTTGCACAAGTTTACGTTTCTGACCTCTCCTTTTGTTGTTTTACAAACTAAGCAATCACGTTAGCCTATTGCACGCTTTCCAGCTGGTGGCAAATGTTTTAGTCTGTGTGCTTGAAAGGCCTCCATGTGAGCAAGCCTGGGTGTAGCAGCATGCTGCAACACTGGGTTCATGATGGGTCTTTGTATGCCAGGAACATCTTTGCCAAACTTTGCTAATAACTGTGTCCCAAGTGTAAAAGCAAATGAAAGGAAAGTTTTCCGCACACACTCGACAGTGCCCACCATCATGTCAGATTTATCAACCAAATGCATGTTGATATTATAGTCAAGAACACAATCTGGCTTATATACTGGTTCTTGCGTTACTCGGTTCACCTTGCCACTGTTCACCATTGTACTATCATGAACAGTTGTCAGCAAGTTCACTTCTCTCTTGTCTTTCCACCTAACTGAGAGTATTTGATCACATTTTCTTAGCTCGCAGTCACCAACTTCAAATTTATTGTCAAACACTGGCATTTCCCTTCTTTTTGGCTTTACTGTGCCAACCAATTCAGTTCTATTTTCAATCAGGAACCTAGCTAGCAAGGGACTAGTATAGTAGTTATCCGTGTACAAAATGTGGCCCTTGTTCATCCATGGTGCCATCAGTGACTTCACCACACTACATGAGAAACCATGTTGGTCGTTTCCGGGAATGTCAACATCGCTAGCAGAATACAGAATCATGTGTAACACGTAACCTGTTTTACAGTCACAAAAAACAAAGAATTTCAATCCAAATCTGTTGCGTTTGGAGGGAATATACTGCTTGAAGGAAACAAGTCCTTTGAAAAGCACAAGGGATTCGTCAGTCACCAGCTTCTCTGCTGGTACATAATCTCTGAACTTTCCATTCACTTCATTCATATAGTGCTTGTCTCGCCAAAGTCTATCATCCACTGTCCGGTCCTCATTACTTGCAAAATGTAGACACCTGAGGGGTATCTGAAACCAGTCTTGGGACATATATTTCCCGAAGAAGGGTGTTGGAGTAGTCTGGTCTTTGCTCCAATAATCAGTGATAGCGTATTTGACACAATGCTTCAACATACATATTGCTAAAAATACATACATTTCACCTACAGTTGTGTTTTTCCAATGCTGCAATTGTGAATATTCTGTTATCTCTTTTCCACTGAGATGAGCCACATGAAGGTTCATTTGGTTTACAATATATTCCATGAGTGGCTCATCATAAAATGTTGTAAAATATTCCATTTCACGCATGTCCTCACCATTATCCGGGAAAAAGTCTGTAATCCCACTGTCTTTGTTGTCAAAGGCAGGAATTAGAGGAATAAAATCGTAACCATCACTCCACACAAGTACACCTGATGTCCTGCGAGACGCAACAGCGGCACGACGGCGAGGAAGCATTGCACATCATGGACCAGGATCTGAAGCTCATCTTCGCAAAGTTCAGCTGCTACGTGAACGTGAGGGTCTTGGTTCCTCAAGTGGTGCTATGCGGTGGCGCTTGGCTGGGCGAGACGCTGCTGACGCAACAAATTCTCGCCCAGTCACACCATTGGTACTAGCAACAGGTGCAGTAACACTATGCTCTGAATCCACTTCACTAAATCAAGAAAATGAGTCACCTTCCTCTGACTTGTCACCCAAAATATCCTTATACTCTAAATAAACACAGGAACTGTGTGGTCATGGGTGGATTGGAGTAGACACTGGGCGAGGTGGTACAGGTGAGCATGTAGGCCTCGCCATGGGAGGAGGCTGTATCTCATTTTCACTGTCTGTGCTATCATCAGTCAATTGTGTGTAGTCCTTATCATTGCCAGAGTCATCAAAATCACTTTCCTCACCATCAGAAAATAGTTCTCTAGTTATTTGCTCCTGGCTAAGTGATTGCATGGTGCATGCCCGGGAGGCATTTGGTAGTGCGCTTGCCATGGTGACCGCTGGGTAACTGGGTCCTCCCATGCGTTGGTAGCATGAACTGGATTTTTTTACAAAATGGCAGCTGTTTACTATAGCCGCTGGGCAGCGTATGCCCCCCCCCCCCCACCTCACTGGCCATTCATATCTTGCTTGGTACTCCAACATGTTATATGACATGATGCGCAATTTATTGCAACTAAACACGTCATATGATGTGTTGCACAGTTTAAGGGTTAAATAAGCATTATTCTGAGATGAATATTGTGGGTTTCAAGCTCGACAAAATTTGAAAAATGCAACTTTTATACAACTATAAATATCTTCGGTTTTACTTTAAATATTGTTCTGGTTTAGGTTTCACATACAGATCCTGTTTCTGTTGTTCTTCTGACATATAGAGATTTTTAGTTTAATACGTTATCAAGATGTTTTCAGCACTATTCTTGGGCATTTGCCAATTCCAACATGGGCGACCATTTTGGAAACGCAACACATGGGTAGACTCAATTGACAATCTGGTCAGATTCTAACAGGGGTTCAATCAATTGTTCCAGAGACAAAGGGGGCTGTTATATTAGTCCATATGTGGTCCAGGGTTGTAACAGATGTTTGAGTGATTCGTGTGGGCTTGGTGATTGTGGGGATTAGCATAAAGGAGTTCATGCTATTTAGGAAGTATTTGACTTGGGGACTATTTTGTTGACAGAGGTCAATGTTGAAGTTTTAGGATCATCTAGAATGATGTAATTTTTGTTGTGTTTGCTGTTTATGATTAGGTTTCTTATATTAATTGAGAATGTAGTTGTATTAGTATTGGGAAATATAGAAATAGCTCCAATAGTTATTGACGATTTAAAGGATTTGAACGAGAATTGAGCAACAGGTATATTCACAGCAGTCGTCACTATATCTAATAACACTTGTGCAATTGAAGTCATCTTGATAATAGATAGCTGTACCACCTCCTTTGTTGTCAGGCCTATAGTTGCATATGACTTTATACAGGGCTAAGTTGTATAGTTGGGTATGGTCTTTACTTAGCCATGTTTATGTTAAGATAATGAAAGTGGAAGAGTAGTAGATGGTTGGAACAAGCTAAGTGAGAATGTGGTTGAGGCCAAAACCGTCAGTAATGCCAAAGCGTTATGTGACAGAGTGCTGGGAAGATGGGACACCACGAGCATAACTCTTATCCTGTAACTACACTTAGTAATTATACAACTCACAGTTATCACAGTTGTCACCGTAGAAGCCAGGGCAGCAGCCATACTCCGTATCCTGCACCTCCTTAAACGACGTCACATATCGGGGCCGCGTCATCGTCCTGAATAGGGTAGAGTGATGGCTCAGCTGAGAGGTCAGAAAAAAAAATGATGGATAAAGAAGAGGGAAGGTGATGGGGGCAAAGAATAGGTAAGTTGAGGGGAAAAAGGAATTAGGGATGTTGAGGGACAAAAATGGGAAGTTAGAGCAAAATGGAGAGGTTAGGGGCAAAGAGGGGGATGGGAATCATTCACCATCTTTCACTGAACAACCTTATACAATCAACACAACATGGATTTGTTAAAAACAGATTCTACCTTACAAATTTGCTCACATTTTTTTTAAAGGTAATCAGCTACTCAGATAAAGGCCTTGTGGTGGATGTAGTATATGTGGATTTTGCTAAAGCTTTCAATCAGGTACCACTATGAAAGACTGGCAAGGAAATTACAGGCCCATGGAATAAATGGTAAAATATTAAAATGGATAAAACAATGGTTGAAGGAAAAAAACAAAGGGTTGTGCTAAATGGAAATGAATCTGAGAAATGTGATAAGGGGGTGCGCCACAGGGGACCATTTTGGAACCTACCCATTTTGTCATATACATCAATGACATATATGAGAATATTACAAACCGCATCATAAAATTTACAGATGACACAAAGATTTATGGTAAAGTTGGAAATGATGACGATATTGAAGCCTTACAAAGAGATCTACATTAACTCCACAAATGGTCAGAAGACTGGAAAATGCTTTTAACCCTTTAACTGCGCGGCCTATAAATATAACACCCCCCAGTGCGCAAGAAATAAATTCTCGTGAAAAAATTCTTTTTTGTTCTGAAAGTGTGAAAAACCCCTCCCTGTATATGGGTATAGCAACGGAATTTCGAAATTGTACTTACTTTGGCTGCTATGGGGTCCATAAAGTGGCGCATGATGTCATCATTCCCCATGCGCCTGTGCAGTAAGCTCGTGGGGCCAGTGGGGCGCCCGGGGCGGGGCGCGCGAGTTGCCGCAAATATAATTTTGTTCATTTTTTGAGCACAGTTCCAAATACATTTTATTTGTTTTTACGTGCTAATCCTATGTATAATGAACACGAAAACTATATTATGGCAGTAAAACATCCGTACTGTCCAAGGACACTGTGTTACGTGCATGACACTTGTGTACACATATGTTGCACATATTTACCATGTATCATGCTAATTTATGTATATATACAATCTATTTACAGACTATACACTGTCACACACTATATACATTCACCATCAACACATTTAGAACACAGCGAGTGTGAGCAGCCACACCCAGCCAGCCCTCCCTCACTCCTCCAACATTGTATTCGCCAACATTGTTCCTCCCATCATACAGTTATTCACACCAATGTTTCATGTTCATTTATGTATATATACAACATGTGTACACACTATGCACTGTCACACACTATATACATTTACCATCAACACATTCAGAACATCGCGAGTGTGAGCAGCCACACCCAAACAGCCCTTCCTCACTCCAACATCTTACTCGCCACATTGCTCCTCCCACCATACTGTTATTGTTTTCATAACACTATTTACACATGTTATACATACTTATCTACATGTTTTATTTACCAGAACTATGCAAGTAACCCGGTATTGTGTCCAAACCGTACAGTGGCCACCATATACTGCATGAGAAATCACACAGCAGACAACGCTACAATTACGACGTCACCTCCCTCACCAACATTGCTCCACTCAACATACTCCTGTTGCTATTATTACACTATATACACAAACTGTATATACCCATGTACATGTGTGTTCCCCATAGCAAACCACGAAGCTAGTATGCTGAGCAAAACAAGAGGGGCTGCCACACAGTGAGGCTACCTCAATTCTCTCCCTTCCTCCCTCACCAAAAATCCTCCTTCCACAATACTACGCACAACGCTAATTATAACCACAAACCTGGTCACTAATTTCTGTAAATTAATAATTGACCACAAGTTTATTTTGAAAAGGAACCTAAGAAGTCATTTGAAGATTCTTAGATGGACAAAATAATGCTGTGGTGCTGTGGCTAGCGCTGTGAACATCGTGAACAGCATTGAATCACTGATATTTGAACATTGTACCCAGTCATTATCATACTCAGGCTCTTCTATAATACTATCATGGCTAAATAATACAGGTTATATACATATTTTGACATATATACATATATTTTCATATACATATTTTTACAGTCTCCGTGGTGTAGTGGTAAGACACTCGCCTGGCGTTCTGTAAACGCTATGTCATGGGTTCGTATCCTGGCCGGGGAGGATTTACTGGGCGCAATTCCTTAACCGTAGCCTCTGTTTAACGCAACAGTAAAATGTGTACTTGGATGAAAAAACGATTCTTCGCGGCAGGGGATCGTATTCCAGGGACCTGCCCGAAACGCTACGCATACTAGTGGCTGTACAAGAATGTAACAACTCTTGTATCTCTCTCTCTCTCAAAAAAAAAAAAAAAAAAAAAATTATTAGGCGATGCTGTGGTCACACGCTGAACAGCAGAGCTGTGCGCTCATGCTGCGAACGCCAGCCTTGGTTGCTCACTCACTACTGAGGCTCTCACACCCAGAAATGTGGACCATGATTTTTTTTTAAAGATGGCATGTAGCGAGTAGATTATCCCAATAATATACTCGCTCCAAATATAGTGTTAATGTTCCTGTCAACCTTTGGAGATGAATGAGGTGAGGCGTTGCCCGGGCAACACGGTGAGATGCCCGAGCAATATAAGCAGCGGTGTAGCGAACATTAACTAGTCTACTTTCAAGTGTGGTCTAGAGCAGACACTTGCGAGATACTGTACCGACGCTCAGTGCGCTCAACTCACACCAACGTATCACCTGTGTACTTCTGTATATTCGACCAAATATATATATAGTATCTTAGTGTCTGTGTTTATTTGTCACCATACTTTACGTAACAATAGAACCGTTACATTGGTGACCCAGTGAGTGAAAAAGAACACCTAGTCACAAACTAGATCTTCGTCATGGATTTATCTACCAGGTTTCCAGCATACAACGCAGATGATTCAGAATTTTGGTTCATGCAGATGGAGGCTATTTTCGACCTTCACGAAGTTTCGACGATACCCAGCCACGATGGACTACAACATGGACTCTCACTGGACCTCTACTGCTACTGTTTGCTGTGATGGAACACTGCCAACACCCTCGCCACAGCTATTTTCATCGCGTCCATCTCTGCATTTTCATCTACTACGGCTTGCTGCTCCACGATCGTTACTCACTCATCTGACAGCCTCATCAATGATTACATCATGTTGGATCTACAGCTTGTCCTGCCGACTCTCCGTCGCTGCCAGGGCACTGCTCGTCCTACGCCCACGACAGCTGCTCTGTCATCAGATTCGTCTACACGTTCACTGCATTTTGATACTCGGCCGACTCAAGCCCTTTGCGCAGTACAGGACTTACAGCTTGCGTTTCCGACACTTCGTCGCCTTCAGGACAATTCAGCTCTAGATGTGATTACCTCGTTGTCCTAACTACGTGCCTACATTACCTCCTAATGTCCTGGTGCCCGAGCCCATCCGCCCCGGATCTAAATGCTCCACCAGCGACCCAAGGACGCAACAATTATGCACATTCTTCTCTCCTGCTACACCGAGCTTGTCCACACACTGCCTACATCTTTTGGTACCAGACTACAATTTCCACAGTCAACAATGTAGTACTCGGCGTGTACAGTCCTAATCAACCCAAGACGCTACAGCTTCGACACAGAGCAGACAGCAGACTACGACCGCATCGAGCCGCCACGCTCTCGCTCCCCGAGTTTAGACACTCACAAATCTCAATCGAGCCGCCACGCTCTCCCACATAGAGCTCCACGACTCCGGCCTCACTCAGCTCTCTGCTCTGCTCCAGGCTTCGTCTCAACGTCTGCGACACTGCTAAATCCAGAGACACATCCGCCGACTACGCAGTTCACTTTTCGACCCCAGTTACCAGCCGCACCACAACCTGATCCTACGACAACGGACGATCCTGTACGACCTCTCACCCTACAACCCCAGTTACCAGCCGCACCACAACCTGATCCTGCGACGACGGACGATCCTGTGCGACCTCCCACCCTACGACCCCAGTTAGATGACATCAGCGAAGAGGAGGAAGTTAACTTTGATGGTTATGTAACGCGAGCAGGGCGTACAATTCGCCGACCAGCTAAGTTCCTTGATCAAGTATTTTTCCTTTCATCCCCTGGGAGGGGGAGTTCTGTAGCGAGTAGATTATCCCAATAATATACTCGCTCCAAATATAGTGTTAATGTTCCTGTCAACCTTTGGAGATGAATGAGGTGAGGCGTTGCCCGGGCAACACGGTGAGATGCCCGAGCAATATAAGCAGCGGTGTAGCGAACATTAACTAGTCTACTTTCAAGTGTGGTCTAGAGCACACACTTGCGAGATACTGTACCGACGCTCAGTGCGCTCAACTCACACCAAAGTATCACCGGTGTACCTCTGTATATTCGACCAAATATATATATAGTATCTTAGTGTCTGTGTTTATTTGTCACCATACTTTACGTAACAATAGAACCGTTACAAGAAGGTAATGGTTCAACTGAATAAATCTCTGGTGTGTCCCTACTTAGATTACAGTATCCAAGCATGGAGACCTCATTTTCAGAAGGACATAGTTACTCTGGAGAAGGTGCTACTCCGGGCAACAAAAGTCATTCCAGAGTTAAGCCATCTCACATATCAGGAATGCTTGAAGGCCACAGGGCTAACAACACTGCAAACCAGGCATGACAGGACTGATCTCATTGAAACTTGAAATAGAAACTTGAAACTGAAATAGAACCACCTACCCACCAAAGCCATAACTGCCAAAACAGTGCTGAATTTCAAAATATACTGGAAATGATTATCAAGGAGAATGGGGGACTTTCAACAAGCTGCCAGCTTCCTGTTCTAGGTAATATAGTGAACATCAACCTAGCTGTGCAAACATTTCTTCACAAAACTATG